AAACCTCATACAGTTGACCTCGGCCCATTGAGGTCTACCCCTGACTTAGGCTACTTGCTAAACCTACAGAACAGGGAGGCTTATTGCACAGGGTGCAAGGCATTATAAAAGAGATGTAGGCAGCATACAGTCTGTAGAATAGTATTGTATATTTTTTTTCAAGCAAGAGGATGTCCTCACTCTGGAGTATTGGGCAGTTTACATTTTGCCTCCGTGGAATAAAATGGTGTCCTGGGCACAGACAGCATAGCTGTACTGTGATAAGTAGTTTTTAACCTTGTGACAATTTTTTAAAATTTTTTTTTTCATGCCCCAGTCTTCTCTGTTTTTATTACTGTCGGTGTTATTACAGCCTAGCACAGTTAGAACTATGAAAATTGAGTCGGTTGCTTAGAGGGGAGAGAGGGCATTATATATAGCAAGGTTAATAGGTATTACAACTCTGAGTTCAATTTAATGTCAATAATGATTACAGGCCAAAATGAGCTACCCTGTTCTGAATGTAGTGGGGTTTTTTGTCAAAACAAAACAGTTCATGTTTTGCTGCTCCCTAGTGCCTCATTCCTGGGTAGTGTTCCTTTGCTTGTTGATGCTATTCTTTGTTTTTTAAACACTGATACCATCAATGCATGGCATATGATCACTTGCTGAGGGTCAAAAAGGTTTGGGGACAGAGCATAACAGGGAAGTATTATTATGTTTATATTCTTCCCTGGACACTTGCTGCTCTAGGGGGAATAGTTACTGGGCTTAGCAAACCTTCTTACATCGATCTCATTGTTCTGTTGGTTGCCACACAAAATGTTAATCGAATTCATACTTAACTTTCCTTTTCTTTCTGAATCTTTTATAGCCAGTGCCCTTCAAGGAGCTCTTCTCACTTTATCTTCCATTGCCTTGCACTCCAGCTGTAAATTTCAATTTGTCTGCTGCTTTCATGCTAGTTTTTTCCCCTTTTAGCCCTCTTGTTAGAACCTATTTCCTACTATCTGCCAAGTCACAGCTCGTGATTCCTCATTAAGGCACAGTACCTTTAGGTGGACAGATAAGGTATGTTTAATGGAGCATTGTGGTTGTGTATGTATAGTCTTTATTCAACCACACCCTGTCCTTTCTCTGTTGCTTCTTGTTATGTTTCCTGATAGATAAGTCAGTTCATCTCTTCTTGAAATCTTGCTCGTTTTGTGAAGTGCCTGTTGGACTTATTTACTAAAATTAGTTTGTACTTTTCTGAGACAACCTTTTAGCAGTAGCGGCTAGTTTGATTTGCCTTGCTTTTTAGCACGGAGGGTTTTAAAAAAAAAAAAAAGCTTTAAAAAATTATTTTATTTTTTATGATATTCAGCTGTCCCGTGACCAGAGTGCTGAAGAACTTGTTCATCTCTTTGCTGCAATAGCTGTCAGTTGGAATCAGTAACGTTTTATGGTCTGGCAAAAACATACTCAAATGCATCTGGCTTTGCCTTTTAATTTGGGATTGTCACAGATACTGGTGCTCCTCTACTTCTGTTACACTGATCAGCTGACAGGGTTATGCAGATAGATTATTTTTTAATGTGACCAATTTACAAATTCATTTGTTTTACCAAGTCAGACCTAACACGAAAGTGTGATTTTCAAACTAAAATGTATAAGCAACAAAATAATTTTCAGTTATAAACTAGTAGAATATTTTATTTATTTTTTCAAATGTCTGTAGGCGAACTATGATATTAAAAATAGAATTAGGGATTTTGTTGTAAGTACACTGTAAAATATTTTTAATTGTATAAAAATTCTTTTTTTAATTTTAATGCAAAAGGTACTAAAACATACTTTCTGTCTGTAATAAATTTATTGCTTCAGGATTTTTCTGCTCACACAAGGAAATTGATCAAGTTCACTTCATTATTTTTTTATTACTATTATTATTTTTTCCTCAGAATTACAAGACTTGAAAAGGAAAACCCAACTGAACTCTGAGTTTCACTGTAATATTACTACTGGCGGGCAGTATGACAAACAACGGTTCATGTTAGCAGAAGAAGCCATATCGGTTACTTGCACTGAATGACCGTAAACCTGTCTGGATTGCTGCCGTTAGGAATTGAACCTTGGACCTTTTCATCTGAAACTCTGAGTTTCTTGTGTGTGACTGAAAGACTCTAACTGTACAAACTCACGTGCGTGTGTGGACCTGTTAATCAGCTAGGAGGCAAAAAAAGTATAATCTAGGAGTTGCACACAGTCTTCCTGGCTAGGAAACAACTTTTAAAACTACCCAAGCTTGCTACAGCATAAATCTGTGTTCTGGCCACCTGTTTCAGTATAACTTGTCTACTTCAAACAACTCACTTTGGATTACACTTTCATTCCAGGTTTCTTGCACTTTGATCACTGAATAATTCACTTTGATTAGAGGCATATTGAAAAATGTCTGATTCTGGTAATCTCAGGTTTGGCTTGCAGTTGCTTTATTATTGGAGCACCTCTTGTTTTTTCTGTGTGTGAAGACCGGTATTTGAAGGCATTTATTACAAACACTAGAAAATTATATGGTTTGAGTGCCTACGCAGTATTTCCCAAGTAAATTTTCACTACTGTGTAACAGTTGTTCAGTAGGTATTTTACCAAGTTAACATGCTTTAACAATTTTCTTAACAGAACATGAATTTCTATGAACAGAGTAACAGCATTGGTTTCTGTAATGGAAGTTCTTCCTTAGCAAGCCTCTTGAAAAGCAGTGTTTGTTACCTTCTGGGCAATGGAAATGAATGTCCTTTTTATGGTCGCTATGCGTTTGGGATTTTTGTGGGGTTTTTTCCCAGGTGTTTAAACTTGTTTTTATTTGGGGGGAGGTTGCTGGTTATTTTTTTGTTTTTTTGAGGAGGGGGGTGAGTTTTTGGGGTTGTTTGTTTTGAGGGGTGGTTTTTTGTTTTGTTTCTTTTAAGCCATGAGAATTTGAGACTTTGGAAATATTTATCCTTATTTATTGACTCGTGTGTCTTTTTGGCAGCAACAGAGTGACTTTTGTGAAACAGCTTGACCATGTGAACTTCCAGCAGCCGAATTCACAATTCCAGGGCATGATTTGAGCAAGACTACCTGCTATATATGTTATGTCCAGCATTAAATTATTGACAGAGTATAAGGCCAACAGTACCAAATATTTAAATGGTAGAAAACAGCAAGTGTTGCTGCTTTTCTGAACAACAAACTTTTTTCATTTCCAATATAGTTAGTGTGTCTGGAGATGTTAGGACTACTATTGATTTTTTTTTTTTTTCTTTAACTCAATCTTCAATGTAGAACTCTAAAAATAGGTGCATATGGCTGAATCATCGAATAGTTTGGGTGGGAAGGAACCTTTAAAGGTCATTTAGTCCAACCTCCCTGCAATGAGCAGGGACATCTTCAACTAAATCAGGCCCTGTCTAACCTGACCTTGAATGTTGTCAGGGATAGGGCATCTGCCACCTCTCTGGGCAACCTGTGCCAGGGTTTCACCGCCGTCGTCGTCAAAAATTTCATCCTTACATTTAGTCTAAATCTACCCTCTTTTAGTTTAAAACTGTTACCCTTTGTCCTATCGCAACAGGCCCTGCTCAAAAGCCTGTCCCCATCTTTCTTGTAAGACCCCTTTAAATACTGGAAGGCTGCAAGAAGGTCTCAAACAACTGGAGAAGAGAAGGCTCCAAGGAGACCTTCTTGCAGCCTTCCAGTACTTAAAGGGGTCTTACAAGAAAGATGGGGAGAAGCTTTTTTGCTGTTGATATAGGACAAAGGGTACTGGTTTTAAACTAAAAAAGGGTAGTTTTAGACTAGATAGAAGGAAGAAATTGTTCACAATGAGGGTGGTGAAACACTGTCACAGGTTGCCCAGAGAGGTGGTAGATGCCTCATCCCTGGCAACATTCACAGTCAGGTTGGGCGGGGCTCTGAGCAACCTGATCTAGTTGAAGATGTCCCTGCTCATTGCAGGGGCATTGGACTAGATGACCTTTAAAGGTCCCTTCCAACCCAAAGATTCTGTGATTAAAACAAGAAGCAGAATCCTTGAAACCGGAAAAATAAGATGATGGTAACTTGTGTTCCTGTTAGGTTTAAGCTCACTTAAGAGACTCAAGCTTGTCAGTGCATGTACTTCAGCAACTTTTGTTTTGTTAGAGTTGTGCACTCATTATTGTAAAATTTGGCCAGAATGGTGGGATAGAAGCAATGCAGCAAATCATTTGAACACAAGTAGTAGTTTTTGGAAAAGGTTTTGTAAATTTAGGCTTGGCTTTAAAGCAGAGGAGCCTCAGTTTATTGGTGTAATGTTTTTACTTATTTCTCTTCTAAATCCTTTTTAGAAATGAATTAATGAATTTGTATAAACTAGAAAGATGGACATGTTGCTCTTAGTTCATTGGAAATAGAACTCATTTCAAGTTGGTTCTATGTCCTTCAGTTAAAGATTGGTGGTTAAGAGTTAGTTGGTGTTTTTATTAACAAAAATGAAAGTTTTCCGGGTTTGTACGCCGAAGAGTAATCTACTACAGTTTCAGTTTTTCTGTGCTCATTTTTTCAGATTACAACTGATGGGAAACCCAAGATAATTGATATAATTGATACAACAGGCAGTGGTGATGTAACTACATGTACCGTTGCAGAACCTAAAGATGGGGAAATTACCGGTCTTTCTGGAAGAACTTTAAAAGTGAGTATTTGATGGTACAGAGACACCACTGGGCATCATCTATCTTTCTTGTTTAACAAAAAAATTAGCACCTGTTTTGATTTCTGCAGAACTTATTTCCTTTTAACTAGATCTTATCCAAAACTAATACTTCATTTGCTCCTTTTCATACAGATTGCTTGATTATATGACATTTCTATGACTTTTCATATGTTGTTATACTGAATATTCCCTGTAACTGAATGAGGTTGCGTACAGAGTTTTGCTGGGGGCTTGATAATTTAATTACTCTGTTCAAATCAGTATTTGATATATTTTTTGGAAGTTGGCTGAAGAAAACATGTTAACATGCTTTAAAAATATCAGACAAGATTCTGTCTTTAAAAGTACTAATATGTTCCACATGTCTATAAACTACAAGAGCAATCATGTTAAGCTTGTGGTAAATAGTTCTAGAGACTGAAAAATCTGTGAGGAGTTAGTTGTATGCTCACTGCATTCTCACTATGAATAGAACAGAAATTGTCTATGGATACAGTGAGATCTAGTAGAGGTCTCGGCTACATAGAACTGCTGATGTTACTGACATGTTATTGATGGCTGGTTAGATTGATGAGGTGATATGGGGGCATCAGATCTTTGGATCTCTCCATGCTGATAGCTTTTTATTCTGAATTTTGCACAGAATATGATTGTAACGGTGAATCTGTTGCTCTCTTTTGCTGTTACTACTAGGAATGGTGAATATGATATACTGAGAGTCTAAACTACAGCAAGATAGAAAATTAGACACTCAGATGTTTATTGTGACCTCTAACCATAATACCCCTTCATGCTAGTGTGCTTCTTTTCATTTATAGTGCTGTAATTTCCCCAGACCTCTACCCCAAAAAAGTCTTTGCTGAGGCTGTTATGTTTTAAAAGCAGAGTGTCAGGGCAACTGATACTTAAAGATGTTCAACGGCAGTCTCACATGAATTGATACTGAATCCTTTGGAACTGGATTGAAATTGCTATGTCATGTTGTTGAAACTTAGTGCAGTAGTTACTGTCATGGAGACAGGGAATTAAATGTGTGATATTTACAAGCCTGTTGTGCTAAGCTGTCTTACACAGTGTTGATTATTTTTTTTAATGCCATTAGTTAACCTATTTCTCAATATACTTTTCTGTAGATTCCAGCAAACTGGGTAAATCCTTCAGGCAAATACCACATTGGCATAAAAAACGGCTATGATATCTATCCTAAAGCTCTTAAGGAGAGGATTCAGGTAAGGAATTACATTTCGCTTCTGATGTATAGTCATATTTCACTGTTCTGATTCCTGAGTTTTTCTAGGAAACTACAGTATGTGATTTGCGAACACATGTAGGCTGCTAGACAGAGCTTGAGAGCTATTCTCTCACTGATTTTTGTGTAGTTTTGACATGATCCATTTCTTCTATGACCTTTCAGAAGAACAGGAGGTGGCCTGGTGGTCCTTTTCACAGTGGACCATTGAGTCAAAAAGTCTAGAAATTACTGATACCTGTTTCTTTTCTCTGTGTATCAATTGATGTTTATTTGTAGTATTGCATGAACTTTTTTAGTCATTGTATCTCAAATTAGAATTGTCAAATTATTTTTGTAGTCTTCATACTTTGACATATGTATCTGTCAATATATTCAAGAACCTGGTTTTGTTTTACAGAAAGAACGCAAGGAAAAGCTCTGGGATCCTGTTCACAGACTGGCTCTAGCAGAGGCCTGTAGGAAACAAGAAGAATTTGATGCTGCTCATAGCTCTCCCTCCCAGGTTTGTATAAGTCTAAATGAATTTGTAAACTTGCTGTTTGCAACAATTTGTTGCTGGTTGAGAGGATTAAAATATTTTATTGGATGAGTGAAGGGTAAGATACTTGTGATTATTGTGGCAGGTAACTTACCAGTGTGTCTTCTGATTAACTTAAGAAGTCTGTACATGGATGGTTGACTTTGCTTGATGTTAACTTTCGAAACTTGTTGCCAAATATGAAAAGGGTATTACTTCAAATACTTTGTAGCATATTTTTAGTATGTTTTATTTTTAATTTTATCTTCTCTTTTTTGAGGCTGTCATCTTTGCTGTGCTTAAAGTTTGGAGTCTTCTAAACATATCCTTTCTTTTCTAAACTAGGTACTATTTCAGTGAAGTATCAAAAATGCTTCAGGTCACTTCTGTATCGTTTAACAATGTGTAAAAAAAAAAAAGGGGGGGGGGCCTTTAAATGTTACAGTTACAGAAATTTGAACTAGTTATACATAATAGGCCAAAAATAAATACTGCATTTGTTGAAGACCATGGAACTTTTAGATGTTTGTGACTCTTAGGATAGTCTTACATCCATGATGAAGTAATGGAACAAATGTATAACATCAGAAAGGAATATAGGAATAGATAGGATCTTGCAATAATTTTAGAAATACTCTAATTATTTTTGTTGCCTTATTAGGTAAATAAGCTAATAAAGGAAGAACTTCAAAATCAAGTGGAACTGTTGAATTCTTTTGAGAAAAAATATAGTGATCCTGGCCCAGTATATGATTGTCTAGTATGGAATGATGGTGAGACCTGGAGGTAAATGCCTAAACTTGTCTTGTTCTACACATAAAGCAAGAGCTTGCATTGAAGACTGTGAAACTTATAACTCTGCCTTCTTTAAGAGATCTTAAATATGATTTGCTTTAAAATAATCCTACTGTATTACTTCAGTTTCATGACAAAGTTCTGATCCCAAATGAAGATGGGGTAGAATGAAGTCTTATTAAAGACAGCATGGTATAAAGTGTCAGCTTGTGGGTTTTTCCTCTGAGGCAGAGTGAAACTGCTTTGAGTATCCATTGGTGATAGGGAAAAAAAACCTAAAAAAAACCAAAACCCAGAAGTCTTTGCACAGACTTCATGATGTAATATGGGACTTTCGTATGATATGCGTATCAGTCAAGAAAACAGTGGGTAAAACTTCAAATGTTTGTGTGCCAGCACTGAACAGCTAGCTTTAGTAAAATTTCTTCCTTGACAAAATTGCCTGAGTTTCCATATGCTTGCTTTTCAAAGACAGATTTATTTGAATTTAGTAACATTTGAAAATCAATTTAGAGATCTTTGTAGTTGCTGAATCTAAATGTGAACATCAAGTTTTAAAAATATTGACTTGAAGTAAGATACCCTAAACACAGACCAGGCTTCTTGAAGTCTTTGTGGTACTATTTGCTGGGCGGGGGGAGAGATTACCAAAAGTTTACAGTAGCTGGAAAATGCCTTTTTTGTTGTTTTTATGAACAGAGCCTGCATAGATACAAGTGAGAATGGTGACTTAACTAGCTGTACAGTGCTGAGAACCTACAAAGAGGCTCAGGAATACGGATCTTTTGGAACATCTGAGATGTTGAATTACTCCGTTAATATATATGATGATGGAAACCTTCTTTCCATTGTGACAAGTGGAGGTAAATTAATGTAATCTTAAGAAAAATTTGCTGCTGGGTAGGTATCATGAGAAGCAGCGGTTTGTATTGCGTTCTGATTCTGATATTTGGGATGGCTCAGGGCAGCTGTCTTAATACAACATTCATTACTGTGGCAATTGGGATTGATATTCACATTTCCTGAACTATAGAACTATAATGGCAGCTTGTTACCACACTTGTTTGCATTTTTGTCTGAAATATTGTTGGCTTTCTGTTCATATGCATGTATACATAGAATGTGTATACTCAGCTACTCTTTTAAGATATTCCTGCATCTTAAAGTCTAAAATAGAGGACCTTCTTTCAAACTACCTTTTATGTTTTGTTTCTTAAATACAGGGTGATGATTGATTTTTAGTTGTTGTCCTTTGTACTTGTATTAAGAATCTTAAATCACAGAATCATTTAGGTTGGAAAAGACCCTTTAAGACCATCAAGTCCAACTGTCACTCAACCATATCCTGGAGTGCTGCATCCATACTTTTTTGAACACTTCCAGTGATGGTGACTCCACCACCTCCCTGGGCACCCTGTTCCAATGTTTGACCACTCTTCCAGGAAAAATTTATTTACTAATATCCAGTCTAAACCTCGCATGGCACAACTTGAGGCCATTTCCTCTCCTTCTGTCACAAGTTACTTGGGAGAAGAGACCAACACCCTCCTCACCACAACCCCCTTTCAGGTAGCTGTAGAGAGTGATAAGGTCTCCCCTCAGCCTCCTCTTCCCCAGACTTGACTTAACCCCAGTTCCCTCAGCCGCTCTTCATAAGACTTGTGCTCCAGACCCCTCACCAGCTTTGACTTCTCTGGATGCCCTCCAGCAACTCAATGTCCGTGTAGTGAGGGGCCCAAAACTGAACAGCGTATTCGAGGTGCGCCCTCACCAGTGCCAGGTACGGGAGGGGACGACACAATCACTTCCCTAGTCATGCCTGGGTGCACTATTTCTGGTACAGCCTAGCATGCTGTTGGCCTTCTTTGCCACCTGGGCGCACTGCTGGCTCATATTCAGCCAGCTGTTGACAAATAGCTCCATGTCCTTTTCCATGGGGCAGCTTTCCACCCACTCTTTC